GTAAATTTCATGAAGAATGGACCAAAAGAAATGGCCCAAAATGATTTGGAAAAAAGTCTGGTTCCATTGACTTACATTAAAAATAAAGTATGTTTTTTCCTTCTCCTGTAAAGTTACCCTTTTGGAGATACAAGGTTTTCTTCCAACAACAGCGACATGTGAAACTTTGATATGACACCATGTCCTGACATTGCATGAAAACAAGTGTGTGTGTGTGTGTGTGTGTGTGTGTGTTTGTGTGTGTGTGTGTGTGTGTGTGTGTGAGGGACAGAGTGTGTGTGCACATTTACTGTCAGGGTCAGGCAGACTATGGGCAGATAAAAGCTGATTAAACATCCGCTCGATGTTAGCTGTTGATGAAAGCCTGTGTCCTTTCAGCTCCAGCGTCATCATCAGGCTTCTCTTCTCGGAATGGCTCGATTTTCCTTGCCTCGCCACTGTCCTCCACCAAACAGCTGTGATAAGTCCAGGCAAACATTACAAATGACTGAAGGAGAGCACAGTCATATAAAAAACACTGCAGTGCCAGTGCTACCGGCAGTTCCTTGTTGTCATAACAGCTTTGGTCACTAGTGCTCATATCACCTCTGAGACCTTTATTCAGGCAGGACCTTTACTATGGAATTTTGTACTGTATTGGATGACAGTGCTGTCCAGGTGCTGACACTTCTCTGCCCTTTTCAGTCCTGTCCAGTATTTTTTTAACATAACACTGTACATTATCTTTATTGTTGCTTTCCGTGCCGACTAACAGGTGATTTAGAGGATTTCCTTTTGCGGCTCCCAGCTGAAGTGTAAACAAATCTGCTTAACTGTCATGTTTGTGTTGGAGCTTCTTTTGCTTATTTTGTTCTTTTTCACACACATGCAGCTGGATTCGGTTGTTATAGCTAAAGTTTCAGTCTAGCTGAGACAATAGTTTGCTTGGATGTTGTTTTAGTCTAACCTAAGATAGAGAGAGAGGGAGAGAGAGAGAGGCGATGTACATTGATTCACTAATGCATGAAATCATGTCTGTTCCTAAACACTACAAGTAAATGGTACATTGTCAAGTAAAATCATCTTAAATCTAGTCAAATTGTATCTAATATTTCTCTTGTTGTAAGAAATATGCTTGAAACAAGCAATATTATCTGCCAATGTAGTGAGATAATTTGACTAAAATGACTTAAAACAAGTAAAAAAGTTTAGAAATAAGTTTAAAAGAAGTAAATAATCAGTTATAAATAGCCTTCTGATCAGCTTACACCTGTCTCCAAATGAGAAATATTAAACACACACTGATTAAATTTAAGACCACTTTATCACTTTCACTTGACAAGAAAATATTTTTTGCAGTGAACTGTTTGTCTGAACCTGATAGGACTAATTACGTCATTTGGGACAAGTTCTGACATCATTAATAAAATGTTTTTGGGTTCAAGTATCACGTGAGCTTCTCATAACCTGACTTCTATCTCCATTTCTATAAACCTGACTACCACCAATTGCAAGCTAAATAAACCCCCACTTTGTTGTGTTAGCACCTATTAAGTTGTCAGATTATCAATAAACAAAGCTGAAATTAACATAATTTAGTGTAATTATTAATTTAAAATTAAGTATATGTTCCACTTTAACTAAAGCAGGGGTAAGTGGGGACCAAAATCCACCCTGTAAAAAAGGAGGGTTTTAACTTTAAAAAAGTTTGTTATTGTGCTGCCTTAAAATTTTGAGTTAATTGAACTTCTCATAGTAAGTTAACAGGACAAGAATATGTTTACACTATGTCAGCTTATTATTTGCTTAATTAACTTAAAATTGTCAGACAGCACAGTAACCAGCTTTTAAAGTTTTTTTTACAGTGTCATTAACTGAAACAAGAACACCATCATGGTTGGAATAACAAAACATGTGAAATGCATTCAGGCGTATCTTTGGGATTTAGAATAACATGCTCAAACAACAACCTCTCCAGATTTGCAGATAAAGAAATTAAACAGAAACTGCATTAATGCTGGGAAGCTCCGCCCCCTGTGTTACCAGGCACAATTTAACAGTCACTTGCTCTGTAAAAAACAACTAATTACTATAAAATCTGACGCTTTAACCTGTGTTAAAAGAAGCTTAACCATTGTGCACCTTTTTTTGTCAGACTGCTGTATTTAAAGAATACAGTGGATAACTGTGGGATATTTGTATATTTACAGTATATTTACAGTATTTTTTTAAGTGTAGACTTTTGTTACAGTCAGTTTCATGCTGAGTTTTGCCAGACTATGGATGGGTTTGGACAGAATTTTTTCAGATTACAGATTCAGAACTCGGTGCTGTGGGTCAGCTCATACCTGGTCAGAAGGATTTTAAATTTGGTTTAAAATTTGAGGAAAAATTTAAAGTTTAGTGACATAATTAAACACCTAACCAATCTGCCTGTGCATGAAAACAAGAACAGCTGATACTGTTTTTCCTATTGAACTCTCCTGAATAGACTGCTGCACTGACCAAGCCACAGGATCATACTGCCCCTAGAGTCTGTGTTGTGTGCTGTTCCTTCACTAAGACATGTGTACACAAGCGCTGAATTGGAGGCCTCAATGCATGTCAAGTGCCTCCAATCTCAGAGACTCTGTGTACAGAACTCCAGTAATAGCCTGAGCGCCTCTGCGTGACCTGCTGAATCCTCCCTTCTGTGGGCTGCTGCTGACCGGAGCGGTCAGGAGAAACTCCGAGGTTCAGCTTGGTACAAATCGCTACTTTGAGACACAATACATCTGTGGTTTGGCAGACAGGATTCCAAAAGAGAGAGAGATGGATGGGAGCTCTGCAGGGCTCTCTTTGAGAGCGAATGGTCTGCTTTGAGGAGCCAACAAAGTGCTGCTACAGCATACCTCAGGCAGGGGTTAATTACTACTTCTGAACTGTCAGCAAGTTTTGCTTCTATACCCTACAGTTCATTTTTTGACTGAGTTCTCCCTGAACTCTGGTTCATGTGTCCACTGATATGTTAGCCAAGGAGTTAATTGAAACTGGGACTCAAATAAAGTCACAAAGCTTAGAATGATTTATGGTGCCATCAGTGGAGAAAGGTAAACAACGCCAAGCCCATCTACAGGTAGCTGCTTCTGTCGAAGGCTTTATAAGGGCCTGGGCTCCGGATGTACCTTTTCTCCACTCAACCTGAATACAAGCCTTCATCCCCTGAGGGCACGAGACACCTAATCACACAGGCTGTTGGAAATCAAGACAGAAAGAAGAAAGAGAGCGAGGGAGAGAGGGAGTCATAAAGAACATAGGGAAAGAAAGGCACAGGGTCATAAAGAAAGGCAGGGTATTTTTTGGTGTAAGCTGAGATGAAAGGTGGTTGGCTGGGGGCAGGCCGGGCCGTGGCCAGCGCGGGCGGTACAGACGGAGCTAAATGGAGAAAGAGCTGAGCAGTGAGTCTGACCGCTCTAACCAACAGTGAACGGGGGAGACGCGCTCTTTTCTCCTTTCACCACTGCGCTTCCTGCGTTCAGCGCTCAGCAGAGAAATGCAGAGTTTGACTGGTGTGACCGAGGCCCTTCGCTGCAGTTAGCGTGAGTCATATACAGATTACTAGTTTAGAGCCAGTAGCGGGTAAACTTCGTAGAAAGAAATATATAGTTTATTTTATATATTGTACAATATACTAGCACATATATGTATGGATACAGACATGCATGTATGTTTGTCTGAAGACGTAATGTTGTGATGCGTTATTTCTGCTAAATTTCTAAATGTGATCAGTAACCTCTCTGAGACATGTCCACATGTCCATGACGGATGGATGTTGGTTTTGTTGCTGTTTCTTTCTTATTTATTTATTTATTTATTTATTTATTGCTTACTCCATATGTAAAATTGTGTGAAAGGCTTAAATTTAGGAATTAGTTCACCTCCTGACCATAATCTGGAAGAATTTCAGACACAGGATAAAAAAAAGAGAGAGGGAGAGAGAGAGAGAGAGAGAGAGAGAGAGAGTGAGAATGAGGGAGCTAGAGAGTGAGAGAATGAGAAAGAATGAGGGCCGTAGAGAGAGAGGGACAGAGAGAATAAGGGAGGTAGAGAGAATAATAAGAGAAAGAGAGAAAGCACATAAAGGATGTAGATAGAGAAAGAGAAAGAGGGTGATAGAGAGAGAAGAAATAAGAATGAAGGACATATGGCAAAAGAGAGAGAGAGAGAGAGGGACATGGCATATGTGAAGAGTTTTGAGTATAATTAGAATAGAAGATGTAATGGAAAACACATTTTTATCTCTCTAATAAAGGCGATATTAATTCATCAGAATATTGCATTGATATTTCTCATATGTGTAAAGCCCACTCCCCCCCAAAAAATAACTGTATATATACACACACACACATGCCTTTGTATTGATTTCAAATTCTATGATGAACAGAACAATAGAAACGGTCCAAAATGACTTGGAAATAATATTGTTACATTAACTTACGTTATAAGTTAAGAATATTTTGTCCATCTCTTGTAAAGTTACGATTTTGGAGATAACGTTTTTTTTCAGACAGTCATACAAGAGAATGAACGAAGGATAGAGAGAGAGAGAGAGAGAGAGAGAGAGAGAGAGAGAAGAGAGACTGAAACTGATCTTAAGCCTTCCAAACTATTTAACAGACTTTCTCTGAAATTGTCACTAACTTTCTGAGCTTTCCTTTACGTTGCAGTGTCTCCCTTCTTGCCTTCATTTCATTCTTCATAAGTTATTTCCTGTGGTGCAGTATTTAACCTGATACGATCTATAATCTGTAGTGCTTTGTGTGTGTGTGTGTGTGTGTGTGTGTGTGTGTGTGAGGACTCACATGGCTGTGTGAAGCAGTCAGTGGTTGGAAGTGCTGGCAGGAGTGAATCAGTGCCTCAGTCAAAGACACAGTCTGTACATACAGCTCACACAGGAGCAGAGAGACACAGACTGCTGGACAGTCAAACCAACTTTCAGACTGAATGTGTTCACTAAAGAGAGTTCTGTCTCTGTGCCGCAGGGACGCGGGAGGCATGGACCCCACCATGGAGTACGTCAAGGTAGGACTATCATTGCCTTTTTCCACTTATGCATGTCTTTTTTCTATTTGTTAGCATTTCTAGCACTATTTTCATTCATGTGTTTTTGTTTCTGACTGTTAAATGGCCTTTGACCATCACTACAAAATGCTGTGGATGGGACAAAGCAGTTCAAGCCATGACTGACTCTTTGGGCTGTGTGAAGGGTTTCATACAGTCTCATGAAGTTCAGGGTGATGTGTTTAGGGTCAGGGTCATTTCTCTAGGCTGTCAGACACTACTGAGTGCTTTTGGGTCAGTAAGTGCAGAGTCAAGCTCTCTCTGTGGGCAGTGCAGACTGAGATTGCATAGAGGATATTAAGGTTTTCTATTAGCCTCTATAAATATACATACTATATTACTGAGATGCAAATTAAAAGTCTCTTGTTCTTCCCATTGAATTGTAAACAGACACGCACAGAAAGTAATTTACATGTGTATGCATGTGCATGTAAGTCTGCAATAAGAGTTGCTTTGGTTCATGATGTGGCCTTCAGGAATAAGCTTGAGTTTTTTTTTGTCAGCAACCTCAGTGCTAAGTAACCCAGCGTTGATGCCTGCAGGGTTAGGAAGCAGAAGTGTTGTGATAAGCACAGTTGCAGACATACACCTCCCAAAGCCGGGAGAAGCACAGGAAACACTAGAGGCAGAGTTTACATGAGCTCCATCAGATCAGCACTGTTTGTAATGCAATCCTCCTGAGAGGAGCTTCAGAGCACAACCTCAGCAATAATGCCATAATTATAGTCTCAAAATGAGGAAATTAACTTGATGTAAAAACAACGTAGACGAGGCCTGCAAACAAAGTAGTTCAAATAACTGCATTATGTTGCTTGATACGGTGAAAAAATTAAAGCATTGAATTTGTTTGGTTTAGATGTGCCATATGAAAAACATGTCTACACAACTTCTGCTGTAAGTAGAAGACAAAACTGTGTAGATTTGATTAACTTGCAAATAATGACTTGACTATAGTAAATTCAATGCATAATTCAGTCACTGAGATGTCAACAAAGTCATGAGTCAGAGTGCTTTGATGTGAAATGGTTTTGTGTAGAGAAACTTTCCAGCTTCTTTACAGTGGTAACAGGAACCAGGGAAAGGATGCAGTGTCTACAATACAAATTTGCTATGCAAAACAACAAGTGAATCCGCTCGTGTCTTCTAAATATTAACAGATTTTCTTGTGAATACATTTTTTTTTAAGATTTTTGGCATATTCCACAATAAACCAGATCAAACACACATCACAACATCAACACACACAAACTTCAAATAGTAATAAACAGTCTCATACACTACTTAGTCCTTTATATTACACATAGATGCCTTTTTGTTTTAAAGCATTTCTTGGTAACACTATTTGGAGTGATCTTTTGTAGATGATTAATAAACTCTTAACAGATTATCAGTAACATATCAATAACATATCAGTGAAGTAGCAGTAGTGAAGTACTAAATACACTGAAGTAAATATCTTGTAGATGTACTGTTGATACATTACTTATATTAAGTTGATGTATTGTTAATATGTTACACAAAACCTAACCTTACCCAACCTTAGCCAAATCCTAACCCCAACTCTGGCCCTAATCCTAACCCTAACCTTAACCTCAACCCAAACCTAACCCTAACCCTGGCCCTAATCCTAACCTTACCCAAAAACTAACCCTAACCCTGACTCCAATCCTAACCCTACCATTAACCTCAGCCTACAACCTAATCCTAAGGACCCCTCAAAATACAGTGTCAGTCATTTCTTTTACAAAAGTAATAGCATTGGACTAATGTTCTATGACAATTTTTTAATGTTGATAATGTTAAATACTGGTAAACCTTAAAGAATAAGTTTTCTTTTGGACTATATTGCCTCATTGTGCCCTGCATGTTCCTCTCCCCTATGAATGGCTTTCATTTCAATGGCCTCATTTCAAAAATTTGAAAAAATGTCTCACTATCAGCCCACGTCGCAACCATTTCATGTAATAGTTTCGTATCATGTACTAAAAATTTTGTGGGAGCTTTTAAACGACTGGGATATCTGGTTCCTATCACCACCACTGTGAACAATTCTTGGTAAGTTCCTCTAGAACGGTGCATTTCACGTCAAACCACTCTTGACATCTTAACAACCAAATTACGTAGAAGTTTTAACATTCCCCTTTAAGCATTTATAGCACAGTAGTTCCAGTCATACATCAGCGCAAGACAATACATCATTGAAAACAATCTTGGTTTCTTTTTGAGCAAAACAATCATAACACAGAACCAGTGCACACACACGTACACCAGAGTGTGATCTGATCATGTCCTGATGAACGTCCACCATCACAGACGGTAACCTCGTTGTGCAGAGGCAGACAGATGTGTATTATTGCTCTGAACGGGCTGGCAGAGTGTGTATTGGTGTATCAGGTTTTCCAGTGTGCACACCTGCAGTCTGCTCTCTCACACTGATGAGGGCTGTCAGTTCACTCTGTCACCACACATTCACCTCTCTCAGCCAGCTGAGATACCGTCCCACACTCTCACACACACTCTCGCTCTCTCTGTAAGAAGCGATCATCTAAGGGTTCACAAGTCTTTGTGAAGAGTAAACCCCTTAGTAAACCCCTCACCATCCTACCTTAGACTTACAGTACAGACAGTACAAACACACACAAACACACAAACACACACACACACACACACACACACACACAGACTTGTTTTTATACAGAAAATGGGGTCAGGAAAAAAGCAGAAAACATATTTAACAGATTTTTTCAGTATTTAGTGTGTTCACTCTTTAATTTTGTAACGACTTTCATTCTTTTCCAAAGACTGTTCTGAGAATGCCAGCGTCTATAACTGACTTGCAGATTTTCTTCTTTCATGTCTATTTCCTTGTCTCAGTAACGGCTACACATCCTTTCAGACTCAGAGTGTTGACTTAAGCTCTCACAGTGGAAACGCTTGTGAGTGAAAGTTTTAGATACTGTTTATCCGATGGTGACAGTTTTGGTGGTCTGTGAGTCTTGCATGGTTGTTAGGAGCCCTGTTTTCTCTGGAACTTTCAATATTTTTTGACTTCAGTTTTGAAAACTCTTGTTTTTTTACTTAGTTTCCTTTGCCTTGCTCAGTATATCTTCTATAGCCCATCTAATCTCCTCAGAAATACCTCCTGAAAAATGACATGTAAAAAAACTTGAAAAAAAATAGTACTTGATGGCTGTTGACTGGAAATGAATTAAATTAAGGGAGGTCTATGAGTACTATATGTGTATACTGTGTGTGTGTGTGTATATATATATATATATATATATATATATATATATATATATATATATAGTAGACTGTAACAGTAATACTAGACTGTCTGAGCTGACCTCACACTAAAGTAAGGACACAACCTAAAAGCTGTTGATAAACATAACCATGTATGATGCTAGTGGTGGTCACTGAGTGTGGTGCCTGTTGAATAAGCTTGTGAACCCCCGACTACAATCTTTCAAACTGGCCTATATATGTTAATATTAGGAAAAAACTAACATATGTCCAACATTTTTCCGGATGCCTGGCCATCCAGTGTTTCTTCTGAAATAAAGGGTGTTAATAGAGAGTTTATTCCCTCATTTGCAGCAGTAACAGCTTCTATTTTTCTAAGAAGGCTTTACACTAAATGTTGCAACAAAGCTGTGAGGATTTGATTGCATTCAGCGACAAGAGCATTAGTGATGTCAGGTACTGATGTTGGATGATAAGTTCTGGTTCATAAACACCCTCAAACTCATCCCCAGAGAACACAGTTTCCGCTGCTCCACAGCTCAGGGCTGGAGAGCTTTGAACTCAGTTTTGGAACTTTGGGGGGGCTTTAAGGAGCTGAATTCACTGGTTAGAAATGGTGTCTGGATACTTTTGGGCATATAGTGCACTTTAACCCATATGATCTGGCTCAAATTCTGACAAATTATGTTACAGATTATCTCTTGGTAAATCTAATCTAGCTTCAGTAATGCTTACGAGTGAGTAGAACTGATCTCAAGGACCTGAGGAACTGCAGGAAGTCTGTATATGTGTGTTTATCTAAAGAATATCAAGTATTAGATGTTAGGTGTTGCGTATATGTGTATATGTATATGTGTGTCTGTGTGTGTGTGTGTGTGTGTGTGTGTGTTGGGGGGGGTGGGGAGGGGTAAATATCTAAACACAGGCTTAGGCTCTTCTGCTGTGCCAAGCTCTTATGTTTTACCTGTCTCTTTCCCTTACTCCTAACCACACACATACATACATACACCACCCTGGTGAAGGTGAACCTCTGCTTGCTGTCATTAGACAGTGTAGGATTTCCTCTGTTCTGTTTAACCAACACTGCAGAGGCAGCACTGTTTTGATGGATCAACAAACTGTTACCCTATCAGAACTCCCGCAGAGTTTAGCATGTCTAGCACATATTGCCTGCAGCGTCTATCTCTCTATCACTACAGGAAGATCTGTATAGAAAAAAAGTATGTGCAGTGCAGCCTTATAGCTGCGAGCAAATCTGCATTGTGTTGCACTGTGAAGCTTCAGGCCACTTAACCAATTGAACCCTAGGCTTATTATTAGTGGTGTAACAATACATTGGGACATTATAATATTGCAGTGCAAAACTGTTACAATGTACATTGCAGCGATGTGGCAGTGCCTCTGGGAGAACGGACTGGGTGTTAATTTTACCCTTTAATGCATCTACTTTGTTTGAAAACTAAAGTTTGAAACTACTGTTATGTAGTTCTAAGAGAAAACAATTGAAGTGTTGGCCCCCATACAGTTAAAATGTCGTCGCTGTGCATGTAATTTAATGTAAATAAGTGTGAAATATTTTATTGCAGGTAATTTTGGACTATTCCTGTAGCTCCATTCATTGTGAAATTCATACAATGTAAACGGCAGTTGCTGTGTTCAAATAATGTAAAACAATATAAATAAAAAATAGAGATATTTGTCATTTTGTTCGGACA